GCTCAACTGGTTGCTAAGCGCTAGAGGAGCGATGGTCCCCCGAGGGTTGGTTCCCTGAGGGGTTTGCCGCCGCTGTAACCCTCAAACCACCTGTGCTACTGCTGGAAGTAGCCCTCGCCTGGCAGCCGCCAAGACGAGCACTAGATCGCGGCAGAGGCAACGGAGCTCCGCCCCCCTGGAGGAAACGGAGCCTGGCCCGCAGCTCCGAGATGGTCATCTTCCCGCAATGGGAACATGACTCATTCGCGAACGCCACCTCAGCGTGTTTAATGCCCAGACACGTGAGGCAGCGATCGTGACCATCACCCGGCGCCAGGTAACGACCGCATCCAGAAACGCACGGGTGAAACGGCATCTTTAAAAAGACGATCCGTTGTCTTTACGAAGACCAACCCACTTATTGTACTCTTAGAGAAATTGGCTCTTTTAGGGAAATGCTCTTTTACGTGCTGAGACGCACAGGGGAAATGGCCGCTTGCAGCACGACAGGGGGTAGTGCAGCCTGAAGTGCGCAACCCACTCGACACAGGAACGGCCACCGCTAAAGCGCCGTCCGCCAACACAAAAAGCTCCCAAGAGCGCGCTAGACTCATCACACACGAAGCAGTTTGGTAGGAGCAGAACGATGTTCTCGCTCGGCTCCGAAGCGAAAAGCTGGTATGCGTTGCACCGGCAGCCTTTTTATGCTCATGCTGTGATCAGCGGCAGCTGGATGCAATCATCGCATGCCAATGTGCATTGGCTCGTTTAGTTTACACTCGAAATGGATTGGTCTCTCTAAGCGAGATCCCAATTCGTCGGTCACGACGTGACTCGTAGTGACCGACTGAAAGGGAACGATACGTTTTAGAAAGTCTCTTGTATTTAGACATTAACTGATATGCTACAGATATACTGTGCAACCCCACAGAGTTTATTTTAATATCAGCTACAACAGATTATGATTTTGCTTTAACAGTTTTTCATCTCGCAAGATTCTTCCCTATTAAGAATTTGTAATTAGTGTTTGAATCAGTGGTTAGATCTTTTGGGATTCAGCAAATGCACATTGAGTACTTCAGTATCTTTATTCAGAACCCGGGTGTTCTGAAGTTGGTGTTCTGTACTTAAAAGGGCAGTAAGAAAATAATAGTCTTTATAACAGTTCTGGAATGGCACCAGGGAATGTAAACTAGCACACTGGCCTTGCTCCCTTCTCTTACTCCTCTTCCCCCTAGCCTCCTCTCTGACAGAGGGCCGTTTGTAGCCTGTTTCCACTCAATTAGCAGGCCACTGTTTGTGCCAATACGATTTGCTCCAGGCCCCTGCTGGGCCTCTTGTCAAGATTACGAGGCAGGGTGTGTTTTAAGACTTGAAGTTGAGTTTTGTTTTTGGTTGGTGCTTGTTGAGTCATGCTGTTATTTTTGGCTGGGTACAGTTTTGAACACATGTTATTTAAAATGCTACATAAAAATATACATATTAAATTTAAATTAAAACAATTACATGTAACTGTCAAGTATTTCTTTAAGCAAAATAAGTACATCAAATAATATTAACAGCATTCTTATTAGTGTCTAGTGTTGGGAATCAAGAACCTCTTATTCTTATTCAGAACAAATTCAGTCTTTTTAGGGCCACCTGTCAGTCAGACAAGGTACCAAATCAAGTCTGCCCTCAGTACTACTGATACAGGTCTGGTTGTGTTATTTTTTTATTTAAAGGGGTCATATGATGCTGCTAAAAAGAACAGTATTTTGTGTATTTGGTGTAATGAAATGTGTTTATGCGGTTTAAGGTTAAAAAAACACATTATTTTCCACATATTGTACATTATTGTTTCTCCTCTATGCCCCGCCTTTCTGAAACGCGTCGATTTTTACAAAGCTCATCGGTCTGAAAAAGCGAGGTGTGCCGTGATTGGCCGAATACCTCAGGCGTGAGCGGAAATGTTACGCCCCTCACCATATTGTGATGATGCCCTGTCACCGGAGCGACGAGACAAAAACATTAAAAACCCATTATAAACGAGGCATTTGTTGCATCCAGTGATTTGTATAATCATGAGTATCGATAACATAATTACTGATGTGGTGATACTTTGATGATATTTGTGCATGCTTTTATTAATATAAACATTTAATACACACATATTTATTTAATACACACGTATTTATATATTTTTGATGATGAAGAAAATGTAGACTAGCCATAAATGAATTACACAATTGGAATACATAATTTATTAGCAGTAAAATGTCAGGGCAACCTGCTACAGAAATATGGTATGAATATTCATTATACTATGCAAATAACATGTAAACTACTACACTGAACAAGTAGAGTGAAATATATCATGGCTTTTGCTGATAATGCATCTCTTGCTTTCATTTACAGGATACTGAACAGAAAACCAAAGGTAAGTACACTTCAAAGTCATTTTAATCTTTAAAAATACAATATTGTTATATTTCAACAGAAGATTAATATAATTCAGCTCAAATTTAATGCGGCTTGTGTGTAGTAAGGTCAGCAGATATGGAGATCTCCCTCATTAGTCTGAAGATAGCTTTTGTCGCTCTGATTCCATGCCTGTGCGAGCTAATGCTTGGTGACACATGCATTATTTCATTAGCATATGTTCACTGGGGTGTAGGGAAACCCAGACGGGTAATACTGGGATGAGAGATACTCCTCAGTATCAGCGGTTTGCAGGATTTAATTTATGGACACGTTATTGTTGATGTTTTTTTTAGAATTAGAAGCTCTAATTTTCTTTTTTATATTGTTTCTTGCTTTCTGACAACTTATGGTAAAATTTCAGACTTTAGTGAATATTGTATATATTTAGTGAATAAAAATAGAGATATAATTCATCTGTAACTACATTTGGGGTACTCAATGTCAGACTCAGAATCAAGTCCGGCCTTCAGTGCAATTATAAATGAACTCTGACTTGTAACACTCTGTAGTAAATTTGTACTTGATCTTGACATAAACTCCACGTCATGTGTAACATGAGAGATAAAAAAATAAGTAACAACAAAATTAAGATGTCAAGTCCTTAATAAACATCTCCCGCATGAACCCGATTGGTGAAGGACAAGATGGCCTAAGACCCAACACTATCTATAGTTAGTTACCCAGCCCTAATATTTTGGTTACTATATCATTCACAATGGTATTCACATGGTACCACTATGGTATTGAAATGGCAGCAACTTGATAAATTCTAATTCCAACAAAACTGCTACCATGGTGGTACTTAGTGTGCTGTTGTTGTTGTTGTTTTTTTGGTCACATCAGTGTACGTGTTACTGTAATGTTGTCTTGGCAGTCTTAAAAGCCTATTAAATATTTGTAACAGTTTTTGAATATTGCGGTTGTAAAAAGTTTGAGTTTTCATTAGGGGTGGGCAATATGAGCTAAAATTCATATCACAATATTTTACACTGTCCAGGCGATATCGATATTATATTGCTATATGAGAAAAAAAAAATTACAGGCAAAATATTTTAACCTTATATAAATAGATACCACTATGTGAAATGGCAGCAACTTGATAAATTCTAATTCCAACAAAACTGCTACCATGGTGGTACTTAGTGTGCTGTTGTTGTTGTTTTTTTTGTTTTTTTTTTGGTCACATCAGTGTACGTGTTACTGTAATGTTGTCTTGGCAGTCTTAGAAGCCTATTAAATATTTGTAACAGTTTTTGAATATTGCGGTTGTAAAAAGTTTGAGTTTTCATTAGGGGTGGGCAATATGAGCTAAAATTCATATCACAATATTTTACACTGTCCAGGCGATATCGATATTATATTGCTATATGAGAAAAAAAAAATTACAGGCAAAATATTTTAACCTTATATAAATAGAAAAAGAGAGGGATTGGACATAGATCTGAAAAGTCTTTTTTTATTGTGCCATTGTTTTTCTCAAAAAGTGCAAACGTGCAACATGAGGTAGGCCTGTATGAATTAAATTAAATTAAATATTGTGTGTTTGAGTTGGCCAGTGGTTACCAAACTTTTTCTGCCGGGCCCCCCTTTTGTAGAGAAAAATATTTTTGGGGGGGGAAAGTCTCTTATGCTCAACAAGGCTACATTTATTTATTAAAAATACAGTAAACACTGTAATATTGTGAAATATTGTCAATTTAAATGATCTATTTGAATGTTTTAACATATAGGCTACTGTATTCCTGTGATCAAAGCTGAATTTTCAGCATCATTACTCCAGTCTTCAGTGTCACATGATCCTTCAGAAATCATTCTAATATGCTGCTTAAGAAAAATTTGTGATTATTATCAATGTTGGAAACCGTTCTGCTGCTTGATATTTTTGAGCAAACAATTTTTTCATGATTCTCTTATGAATATTTGAAATGGTCCTTTGTGTCAGAGTTATTTAACCCAATATAACTCTGATTCTTCAATCGCGCCATCTAGTGGTCTGTTATTGATACAACCACAACTGCTACAACTGATAACGGCGCGCTCAAGCGGGTACTGCGAGTCATGTTGAGGTAATTAAAATATGTCAAATTAATATTTTGCG